TCAATCCAGCCCAAGCAAAGATATAATTCACATTACACAATATGTCTGAGAATCAGTTGTAAAAATCACATGTTTAGATGGTTCGTTATTTGTAGGGCCGGGGGGGGGGGGGGGGGGGGTGGGGGGGGGGGGGGGGGGGGGGGGTTTTTTGTTGGGGGGGGGTTTGTTGTCCTTTATTAGTCTGTAGTGGTTCAGATCCTCAATTATTGTACACTGGATTGCCGCGACTAGAAATGTTTAGCAGGCGTTTCGTTTCAGCTGATTGGGGAGGCATTCTACCACTCAACTTATACAGATTTATTCTATATATGTTTGTATTGTTCTATATTGTTTCTTTAATTCTATCATTGTTCCGTCTCTCAGGTGGAAGTTGTTACACGTTTCAGCAGCTTAAGTGAGTGAGGCGGATCTGTTACAGCTGGAAAAGATGATATAGACACGAAAGTTGAGATAGTGGTTATGTTACTTTGGATACGAGACAGGTACCTGAGTTTCAAGTGTTACCGCTTTTTGTGTGATGTTTTAATCAAATTAGCTGGTGTGGAAAGATGAAGAAGAGGTCGATTAATAATGTTGAACGCCGCGGCTAGAAACTGGAAAAGTCCGCAATTCGCTGAACAGGAAGATAGCTTCTCAGTATAGTTAATAACTGTCCGCGGTTTTTTTTTCTGGCATTTGCAAGAAAAATGAGGAAGGGTAATATCTGGGCGGGGGGGGAGTGGGGTTGTTGGAGGGGTAGTGTAAATCATGGCCCTTTGCCCCGTGATACCCCTTTGTTAGGAAATTGTGAATCATTCTATCCTTATAATTGTGTTGTGGCTTGCTTCTATCGGATTACTTATTATATCTCCTTGTTGCGAATATCGTGATTATTTATTGAATGTACCAAACTGTGACAATATCATGTTCTCTGCTCACTGTTATAGAACACTTGTAAACGTAAATTATTAATTAAATTTTAATAAATAATTTGCAATTATTGCACAAACTTTCCTCCAGCTGTGTACACAACGCAACAAGACCTAAATTAGTACAGAAATTATTACACTTTATCGGAAGCACCAGCCTCCTAATTAATTCATTAGTGCCGAGAAAGAACAGAAAATTAATTTATTACACTTTTATTGGAAAAGGGCGCCCCCCAGCTCCCTCTAACATTAATGATGGACACTCTTTTTTTTTACATCGCGCG